ACGAGAAAGCCCACAATATGAACTCACCTGGACTCAGAGAGACTTGTAGAGCCTGAACTCACAACCAGAGAGCTTGCATGGCACTGACCTAGGTCCTCTGCATATATGTTATAGTTTTGATTATTATATGGTATGGAGACATTTTTTCTGGTCCTATCTCTTTGGTGTTCTATAAACTTCTTGTTCCTCATAGGCATGTTGTTCTTAGGTTGGGAAAATTTTCTTCTATGATTTTGTTGAATATATTTTCTGCTTCTTTGAGTTGGGGTTCTTCTTCTTATATTATATTCCTCTTACTCATAAGGTTGGCCTTTTCATAATGTCCCAGATTTCCTGGATTGTTTGTGTTCAGAATGTTTTAGAATTAACATTTTCTTTGACCAATTAATCTTCCTCCCTCCAAGATATCATCCATGCCTGTGATTCTCTCTACTATTTCATTTATTCTGTTGGTGTTTGCATCTGTAGTTCCTGTTTAGTTACCCAGATTTTCCATTTCCAGAAGTCCCTCCTTTTATGTTTTCTTTATTATTTCTATTTCCATTTTCATGTCTTGAAGAGTTTCCTTTACCTGTCTGTTTTTCTATTAGCTTTTTTGGCATTAGTTATGAGATTTATTTATTTGTTCCTATGTTTTATTTGTCTTTTCTTCAATTTCCTTAAGGTATTTTTAAAATTTCCTCTTTAGGGACCGCTATCATCTCCATTAAGTTCATTTTAAGATCATTTCCTTTGCTTCATGTGCGTTGGAATAGTCTTGCTGTAGTACAATAGCTGGGCTCTGGTGGTGCCATGTTGTTCTTTCTGTTGTTGATCATGTTCTTACACTGGTATTTAGGCATGTCATATTTGGATGATTATAGGTCAACGTGTTGATCCCCGAGGTTGCCACAACTCTGACTGTTTTATTAGAAGCCAGGCTGTTTCTAATAATCCAAGGTAAGACACCACCCACTGCCCACTAATACACCTTAAATCCTGCCCAATCGCTTCAGAATGCACCCTCTGGCCAAGGCTCTATTTTCTAAACTATAACTTTGACAGAAGACTTCTGCTTTACTGGAGGCCTGTATAGTTCCATGGACCCAAAGTAAGACATTGCCTACTGACACTAACATCTCTTAAAGTCCATCTAACAGCCCCCAAGAGTATCCCCTCTTCTTGGCTTCATACTCTACCTCACAACTTCAGAAGAAGCCTTCTGTTTACCTAAGGCAAGGCTGGATCGAGGGACCCAGGGTAAGACACTACTCACTGCCAGTTAAGATTCCCTAAAGGTCACCCAACAGCTCCCTACTGCACACTCTCCCCTGACCTCAAAATTCCAGACCACAACTTGGTCAGATAATTTTTACTATACTGAAGGCCCCACTGTACTAGGAATCCAAGAGATCAAGCAGCACCCAGACACCTCAGTCAGGTGATTTTTTAAAGGCCAAGTACCTAAAGTAAACATTCTGTCTATGTGTAAACAGAATATCATCTGGTACAAAGAAAGCTTTTATTTGCAGGAACAGAAAAGGAATTGTTAAATTTATATAATACCAGGCAATGACAAAAATAATCACTAAGCAGAATAAACACAATCACTTTAACATTTGCAAATTCAATTTTGATATCTAGTTATATTAATCACAGAAATTTTAAACTTTTAAACATATAGTTAGCCATCAATGTAACATTAACTATTCCAATGTATAAGGAGATACTTACGGGTGCATGGGTGACACGAAATTTGGTTCACCTACAAAAGCCAATGTCAGCATGGGTGAAGATAAAGGAAACCTGCATCCCTGGGTTCCCTGCATATTGTGCAGCTTGGTTAACTCGAGGGTCTCCTCTGCTTTTGTTATTACTCATATGAAATTAGGGAGGACCCTTGTGAATTATGTATGTTTCAGCATCTTCCTGGCTCTTTTGAAGTTTAGGTTAGTTCTGGTGACTTAATTATTTCTCTTCCAAAAGGCAATGTTCCAATTCTGAGGAACTAACTTTTCAACAGGAAGGTAATTGAAAAATAAGAGAATCAGGTGCTTACTTCAACCACACCTTAGAAAATGTTTAAATAGTGGGGATGTATACATTGAAATATTAAAGAAATATGAGGATGGTTCTGGTGAGAGAAGACTT